CGAGGCACACACGGGGCCTGAGCCCCAGGCCAAGTTCATGCCTCTGCAAAGAGGAATCACATGGCGGCCCCATCCGCCTCTCCTTTCCCCACGTCCCTTGACCCCAGGCAGAGGATGATCTGCCAGCCCCGCACAGCCCCCACAGCCCGCATAGCCCCCAGGCCCCCCAATTCTCATAGGCCTGCAGACCCCACAGCCCTCCTCAGCCCCTCAGACCCCACAGTCCTCCTCGGCCCCCCAGAGCCCCCAGCCTCAAAGCTTCACCCTGAGTTAGCTGAAGGCGGCCCCAAGGGACCGCTCGGGGAGCAGATTAGCTCAGGGCGCTGGAGGTCACATCCCCTGGGGGAGCCCCGGGGGAGCCCCTGGGCGTGGCCCTGGCCTTGCTCGGTCGCCGCTCCGGAGCAGGGCGTTGGTGGGCCGGGGGCCCCCGCCAAGCTCCGGGAGGCTGCAGACCCCTACCGGCGGCCACAGTGCGTCCGGCCATTGGTCAAACGGGGGCGCGGGCGGGCGGCCGGGTGGCCCTTCGCTGGACACGGCCGGGCCCAGCCCAGCCCGGGGTGCGCGTCCAGCGCGGCAATGCTGCCCTCTGCTGGCGGAGGCGCGGGGACGGGACCCGACCGATGCCCCGCGGACGCGCGCCCCAAGGTCCCAGCAGGCCAGTCCGGTTGGGGTCCCAGCGCCCGGTCCAGGGTGCCCGAGAGGAACCGGGCAGCGCTCGGGCGAGGCCGCGGGTGGCCTCCGCGTCTCCCGCCGCCCCCGCAGGCCGCGCGCGAGGCCCCGCGGGGCGTGGCGGGGCGCCGAGCGGCCCTGGAGCCCGGAACCTCCCCAGCGCGCACGGTCGCTCGGCGAGGCTGGGGGGCCCCGACTGGGCCCGCGGAGAGCGCCGCCCGCCGCCGGCACGGAGAACTGCACCCGCGCACCCGCCCGCTCCGCCTCGGCCGCGGGGAGGCGGGCGCGGGCGGGGCGGGGCGGACTCCGGGCGGCTCCCGGCGACCAGCAGAGCCAAAGCAGCACGGCCCGGCGCTGACCAGGCCAGGCGAGAGCCTGACCCTCTGGCTGTCCTGCCTCCGCCCCTGCAGCCGGAGAGGGCCGCGGCCCCCGGCGCAGACTCTCCTCAGACCGCGGAACCAGCCAGGCCGGGCACCGCCTCCGGTGCCCAGAGAGACCTGGATGTCCACAGCGGGGCCTGGGTGGTCCTGCGCGGGGCGGGAGGCCTGGAATGGGGCACCCCAGAACCACCCTAGCTCACCTGCCTGTCGGGGGCCCTTTTCCAATCGTGTGGCCTCTTCCTTGCACCGAGTCCCCGGTTCCTGCCAACGTGATCCCTCCCGCGCCCCCCAGGACCTCAGGAAGGACACCTGGGACCGTCTCCACGCGTTGCGCCCGGCTTCGCTCCCACGCCCACTCTGGGTGCTGACCACGCTCCTGCCAGGGGCAACCTGGTCGGACCTCACACGTCCCTGCGCTTAGCCTGCGCCCGCCAGCTGTGGACCCCGCTCTCAGGCAGCCTGAGGAGGACCCTCGTGGAAAGTGCCACGGACCCCTTGAGGCCAGAAGGGCCGCCACCTGCCCACGCCCCCCCTCCACCTGAGTGCCCCTTTGATGCAGCACAGCTGGCCCTCGTCTGGCCCATCTCTCGGGTGCTGACCCTGAGCTCTGCGTGTGGATGGAGTGTGAGACACGGACCCCCGCACTGGGCCCACCCCTGGCCCAGGGGGGTGGAGGCGGCTCCGGATTGGTGCCCCTACGTAGGGGGATTCCCCAAGCCCAAGAAGTCCGCAGAAGACTGGCTCAGGCCTGGAGCAGGTGTGCAAGGGGCCCTGTGCCGTCAGCATGGCCCCGCCCACACCAAGCACCGCCCCACAGCCCCGCCCACACCAAGCACGCCCCGCCCACGACAGGCCCCGCCCTCTCTGGCCCCGCCCGCATCGAGTCCCCACCCATCCAAAGTCCTGCCCGCTGCAGCGGCCCTGCCCCTACCAAGTTCTAAACCCAGGACCCCCACCCCATCCCATCCTCTGCCTGTCGCCAGACCCCACGTTTTTTTTTTTTTTTGCTTTTTGGGTGACACCCAGCGATGCTCAGGGGTTACTCCTGGCTCTGCACTCAGGAATTACTCCTGGCGATGCTTGGGGGACCATATGGGTTCAATTCCCATTCCATTCTGGGAATTGAACCCGGGTCGGCCGCGTGCAAGCTCTCCACTATGCTATTGCTACAGCCCAGACCCCACTTATTCTGGTGCACAGTGACACCTGTCCGGCCCTGCCTCCCCTGAAGAACTGCTCCGAGTCAGGACAGGGCTCAGAGGCGAAGGGGCAACCGTGACAGTCTGCCTGGCCTCTGGATCCGGAAGGGGACATAGGGCGGGAGGGGGAGCCCAGACCCCGTGCCCGCTGTGCTCCCTGCAGCGCTCGCCGCATCCCGCCTGCCCCTCCCACACCCCGGACACCCTCACAGCCTCACACTCTCACAGCTGTCGCTGTCTCCTGGGGAAACTGGTCCCACATGGGGCCACTGCGGGGTCCGGGCCACACTCGCCAGTGTAGGGGTGCAGGCGCGGTGCCGCTCTGCTTCTGAGATCGCGGCTTGGCAGCAGGCGCTGCTCCCTGGGGTGACGAGAACAGCCCGCAGCCGCCTCCACACCCTTTGGAGAGCAGGGCGCCCCGTTACAACTCAGTCTGGCTCTGGCCCTGGGGCCTGAGTGGTAGGTCCCAGTCCCACCCCTGTGCCAGCACCGGTTAATGCCCAGTCCCTGGCACGGGGCCCCTAGGGCATTTGCGGGGCGCGGGGCTGGGGGTGAGGCTGCCGGCTTGCCCAGCGCTGTGATCCTGTCCGCTCCCTCCCTGCGTGGGGCCGAACCCCGGCAGCCCCACGCCGGCCCCCGCACAGCACCAAGTGGCCTAGGGAGAGTTGGGGGTCCCCATGCTGCCCTGCGGCTTGGCAGTCTGGGGGGCTCAGCTGTCCTCTCCTGCCAAATATCCCCCACCCTGGCTTGGAGTCCTGAGCCGGGAAGTGGGGCGCGACTTGGCACTGGGGGTCACTGCACCGCCACGGGGCAGCCAGAGACCCAGCGGGGGGACATGCAGACCCCACTCTCCTGAAACTGCTGAGTCTGCTGTCTGAGACCCATGCCAACAGGGACGCCCGGACAGAAGGGTGGACGGAGACAACCACGCAGGTCAGCAGTGGCCAGGCAATGCCCTGCCCTCCCTGGTGCCGGCGGTGCCACTGGCAGGGCCCCCAGTCAGCCCTGGGGTCAGGGGCTCTGTGGGGAGCCCTCAGGGCAGGCCGAGGGGTGCTGGCAGTGAATCCACCCGAGTGGAATGGATCAGTTAGTGGACGGACAAGCCCCTTCCACCACCCGCGGCCCCCCAGCACAGCCCCTAACTCTCTAGGTCCAGTCTTGCCCTTGGATTTTCAGCTTCCAGAAATGACTTTTGGCATCCTCTCTTCCGGATGACCCCTGCGACTCAAATGCTGGCTGTGTTCAGGAGGGGACCCTACCCCCTTACTCAGGTCCAGCCACTCTTGGGAGAGCAGGGGTCAGACTTCAGTTTCTGGGGTACCCAAGGCCTGCATCCCCCTTCCTCATAGCCACTGCTGTTTGCTGCAGGGACATGGAAACTGAGACCCAGTGTGGCAGGACCCATGTCCTGACCTGGGGTGCCGGGGTGCATGGTGGGCTCAGATGAGGGTGGCGTGGGGCAGAATTTCAGCCCCCCCCTCACCACTCCCCTGGAAGAACCAGTGCCTCTGCCCGGCACCGCCAGCAGGGGGCAGTGCTACACTGCAGCTGGGCGCTGACTCCCGCGCTGCCCGCTTGCCGGCTGGGTGGTGGCTTCCTGGTCCCAAGCCCCCATGGGCTCTGCGGGCAGCAGGGGGTACTGCTTGCTGGAGGCGGGCAAGGGCAGCATTTGGGCTGGGACATCCTCAGCCCTGAGCCCAGAGGCCAGTGATGGTGGCAGCTGCCCCGCCCACACAGAAGAGTCCCTGCTGGGACCACTGAACCCCCAGGGACCCCCTCGCTGCCGCTGCTCCAGCCCTTCGTGCCTGAGGTCACCATCTGTGTCCCACCACCCCTGGGACCAAGGCCCCTTTAGGGTGCCCCACCCCACTGCACCCCGCCCTGGCCACACGCCTCACAGATGGCAGGGCTGACCCGGGGCCCCAGTGCACTGGTCAGGCCCGTCCTGGTGCCCGTCGGGCGTTTGTGGCCCAGGACATGCGCAGCAGCGCATGCCGGGGCTGCAAGACACTAGCCAGAGCCGCCATGGTGCAGCCCCTCACCATAGAAGCTGGCGACTGCAGCTGGCCCACTGGACCGGGGCCTGGCCACTGGGTGAGGCCCCAAGGTGGCCCGCGTCTCCCCATGTCCCGCGCCCCAGCACTGGGGGATGCCTGGAGCCCACGGCTGACCTTACTCTTGGGAACTGACAGGCCTGGCCACCCTGGAGGACAGTTAGGCAGGGGACCCCGGAGCTGTGGTGGGTGGGGGCGCCAGGGCCTCCTTCCTGGGGCTGACCGGGAGCTTTGTGGCAGCTGGCCCCTGCGGGGGCCGCGCTGGGGGGTTGGGGCTCCTGAGTCTTCTCCCCTCCCCTGGGGCCGGCTGGGGCCAGGAAACTCACAGAGTGGGGACAGACGCAGGAGGCCCCTGGGCACATTCTGCCCGAGGGCTCCCGCCTGCCAGTCACTACTGAGGCCCCAACAGCAGGGACAGGGGTCTGGGAGCCCAGATGTCCTGGACGGGTGTGGGGTGGGACCAGGAGGGACTACGGGAGTAGTCCCACTGAGGGGGTGTCTAGACATATGGGGGACCCCAGTGCCACACCCCCAGGGTGTCTCACATGCCAACGCTTGTACGGGGCAACCCCCGAGAAGCCACAAGGCACCCAGGGAGGGCCACACCCCAGTCCCCGCTGCCCAGCACTGGCCCCATGCAGCAGGTCCGCCCGAGCCCCACAGCAACGGCGAACAAATGAGAGGCCGGGAGACAAGGCTGTGAAACGCTCGGGTTTGTTTCTCCACGTTCCCGCGCCGCTAACACCGACGTCCCTGGGCCGTGCGTGAAGCTGGACACGGGCTGAGGGGGGAGCCGGCCCGAGCTCCGCTGCCAGGAAGCAGAAACCGGAGAAGCCCCACCCTCCCGCCACATCCACGTATACAGGAGGATAAAATTACATTTGTACAAAAATAGATTTTCTACCTTTCCCGATGCTTTAGCTCCCGGCTCCCGCGTGTACCCCCTGGTGCGCGCTTGGCCCCACCCAGCCCCCCGGCTGCTCCCAGCATCTGAAAATAGATGCGTCTCCAGGTCTCGAGATGGTCACTGGGACCGGGGCTCACCAAAGAAGGGTCCTTAGGTCCTTGCTTACACGAAGCAAATTCATAGGAAACGGGAGAAGTCTTGATTGAAAATAAACATGAAACGTCGGTGAGTGGGTGTGGCTGTCGCCGCGGGGGTGGCAGCAGGTCGCACCCCAGCTCTCGATGGGGACATCGGCTGACTACCCGCCATCAGCCCGAGTCCTCTGGGGAGCTGGACGGGCCAGGGTGGGCGGCGCCACGCGGTGGCTAGCGGGCTGACATCAGCACTATCTTTAGGCAATGAAAGATTGTCCCACCAAACAGGAACAGCGACAATGACGAGACATCCCGGCGCTGGCGAGCTGGGCTTCACCCCGGGGGGCAGTGGCGGGGTCCTGGCTTCAGCTGTGGTGGTCTCCGGGCCGAGAATGGCTAACCCCCCCAAGTGGGCTCTTCTCCCCTGGGTCCCAGGAGAGGCCAGTGGACAGGGACTGAGGGTGTGGAAGGTACCAGAGATGGTGGGTGCGGCTGGGAGCAGCCTCAGTTCCAGCCATGCCCCTGCCAGAAGCTTCTCTGGGCCCTGCTGGCCAGGGAAGGGGCTGGGAACCTTTGAAGCCTGGAGCGGGATGTGGGTCCTCCCTGCCCCAGCTGGAGACAGGTGGGGGCGGCCTGGGCTCCAGGGTGGGGCGGGGGGCCAGAACCGGCCTCTGAGAGCAGAGTGGACCCTCCACGCAGCCTCCGCACCACAGCAGAGGGCAAGACAGCCGCCAGAGCCACGGGCATCGGACCTGAGCCCTGCAGCCCAGCCACACCCACGAGCAGCCCGAGGGCTTGCGCAGGCTGCCGGGCCCGGGGCCGGCGGTGTTGGGGAAAAGGGCTTGTGGAAGGGGCGTCCAGCCCTGGCGGGGATTCTAGACAAGGTCCTTCAGATCAGAAGAACCTTCTGGAGCTGCCGGCCGTGCCCCGTTCCTGTTGCTCGAAGCCCCTTGGGGGTGTGGCCAGCAGCCTCCACTCCAGGAAGGCAGGTGGGATGGCTGGCGCGGGTCTGGGTGAAGAGCTGAGCTGGAGCTGAGCCCAGGATGTGGCAGAGCACATGGCAGTGCCCCCGCGCCTCGGGGTGCCCCACCCGCAGAGGTCCACTGCCGCTCCCACTGGCAGGAGGCGAGGCAACAAGTCATCTTTGGAAAAAAGGGGTGCTCCCTCCCCATGCAGAGGGGAGCCTGCCTGCCCTGAGGTGCCTCTTGCATTCTGGGGGCCTTCTGCAGGGACACTGGTCCCTGCCAGGCCCCTCCCCTAAGCCTGGGTGGGTTGAGCTAGAGACCCCCAAGATGGGTCTGTCTGAGCAACAGGACCACGCCTCCCGGAGCTCGGCTCCCTGCCTGCCACAGCTCCGATCCCCCTGGAAGTCAGGGGGCCGGGCGGGGGTCTCACCCCAGTTCTTTCTGGTGTCTGAGGCCACGGAGACTACTGCCCCATCCAAAGACAAGTAGGATTAGGCAGTGTGGGGTACACATCTCTGGGGCCCCGCCGTGCCAGGCTGCACCAAGTCCGCGCAGGCCAGGCAGGTGCGGGTGGGCCTAGGTCATCTGGTGGGGGGCCTCCAGCATCTCCATGAGGAAGGTGTCGATGGGTGTGTCCCCAATGAGCTTGAAGAAGAACAGGTGCTCCAGACACTTGAGGCCGATGGAGCGCAGGGCCGGCAGCCGCAGCAGCAGCTTGGCGAACCTGCGGGAGGTGGGCATCAGGAGTGCGGCCAGGGCTGGCGCCAGACTCCATGGTGCAGACCCTCTGGGGCGGGGCGGGGCTGAGCGGGGTGGGGCTAAGCACGGCATGGGCGGGGCCGCAAGAGGAGGGCGGGGCTGAGTGAGGGGTGTGGCTAAGTGCAGCATGGAGGGGCTGCATGAGGGTGTGGCTAAGCGCAGTATGGGCGGGACTGAGGAGGGCGGGGCTAAGTGCAGCAGGGCGGGACTAAGTGGGGTGGGCGCGGCTGAGTGCGGAGGGGTGTGGCTGAATGCGGCATGGACAGGGCTGAGGGGTGGGCGAGGCCAAATGAGGCTGGGTGAAGTGTGGCAAATGAGGTTGTGGAGGGGGGCGGGGGAGAGGGGGCAGGGGCGGGGCTGAGCGGGGGTGGGGGGAATGCTGAGTGGGCAGGGACAGGCAGAGTCGGGTGGAGCTGGGCTCCGCAGGAGAGGAAGGGGAAGGAAAGGAGGCAGAGGGCGCAGGGCTGGCGGGGCGGGGCTGGGCAGCGGGGAGGCAGGGCGAGTGGTGCGAGGCGGGAAGCTGCAGAGGGCGGGGCGGTAGGGCTGTGGCTGGGCGGGCAGGGGGGCCTGCAGGGGCTCTGCTGCAAGTCAGGACACGGTTGCTCTCCAGGGCAGCGGGGGCCACGGACAGACTGGCAGGGCCGGGCTGGGGGCAGGGCCCAGGCGCCTCTGGCTGCCACGGGCTGGGGCCTCTGCAGGGCTGGCGAGCAGGTTGGTGCCCCGACAAGCCCTCCTGTAAAGCCTCCACATCCTGGCACTGCGGGAGGCACCTGGGCACCAGGAGGGGCAGGGCCCGGGCTGGCTCTGGGGAGGCCGGGGGAGGGGCCACCGCCGTGGGGGCGGGCCGAGCGGCCACACGTCCCCTCCGGGCGTCCACATCCCCCTCGCGGCCACGTGCTGCCAGCCTCCGCCCACGTGGCCTCCGCCCAGCGGGAGAGGCGGTGGCCGGGCCATGAACAGCTTCTCTGTTCCAGGCGGCTCAGCCCTGGCTTGGCCGCCGCGGCTGGAAGGGGGCCAGGGACGGGCCTTTTTCTGCTGAGCTGGCGGGATGGCTGCAGCGGGAAGCCAGGAAAAACAGGCGCCCGCCCGCCCCTAACCCCAGCCGCAGGAGGAGCGGGCGGCGGTTAACCGTGCGGGTGCCAGGCGCGGGCAGATGGCCCCCTGGAGGGCAGGCGCCGGGTGTGCGACCACCAAGGGCCCAGGCCCTCCAGGCCGCCCACCGAGGGCCTGGCGCAGAGAGGAGGCAGTGGCCGGGTCTCGCTTCTCTGGGGCCCGCACCGCGTGGTCATTCAGACACTGGCCCCCTACTCAGGCCTGCTGTAGACACAAAGCCCTACTGTGTGGGCGGCTGGGGGCTGAACACACCTGCCAGGCTGCTCGGGATACTTCTGCTTGCAGTAAGCCTCCAGCGACGCGTACACCTTCTCCCGCAGCGCCTCCACCTCGGCGGGGTTCGACAGCCCCTTGGAGTCTGCAGGGGTCAAGGGGCCAGTCAGGGCGGAAGCCTGGGCAGGGCCGGTTTGTGAGCCTGACATGCGCCCCTAGCTCCCCAGGACGCCTGATCAGTCCACTGGCCCCAACCCAGAGATCTCAGGCATGCCCAGGGCACAGGCGCACTGCCAGGGGAGGGGGGGCTGGGGGGACGGGCACCTGGGTTGAAGAGGACGATGGCGCGCAGGCAGCCCAGCTCGGTCTTGTCCATCTGCATGTCCCGCATCTTGGACACCAGCTCTGTGAGCACCCTGCAAGGGACAAAAGGCATCAGGGGGAGGCTGTGTGGTTTGTTCTGGGATCTGTGGACTGGGAGGTGACCACGGAGGCTCAGGAGACCCCTCAGCAGGACACTGCCCAGGACTCTGTCCAGCGCCTCGTCACTGGCCTTCTACACCTCACAGCTGCGTGAGCACCCCCAGACTCACCTCCCAGCGCCAGGGAGCTGCGGTGAGCAGGCTGGCAGAGGGGGCCTGTGCCCACTGGCCCATGTCCCGGAACACCTGGGACCCCTCCCACGGCACCCACCCCATCCCACATCCCCCACTGTGGCTCCACCCCTGGGCCAGCCAGAACGCTTGGGGACACGGTGGGTGCTACTCCAGAGTAAGGGGGCCGAGGGGGGCGGGGGGCTCGCCTGTCAAAGATGGCGCCCACCCCCGCGCTGTGGGCGCTGTTCCGGTGCACATGCAGCCCAGTGGCCAGGAGGATGCCGTCCTTCACGGCGATGGAGCGGTGGGAGAAGGAGGCGATGAGGAGCTCGTTCCAGCCTGCGGGGACAGTCACGTGCGTCTCGGCCAGCCGGGCAGGCCCAGGAAACCCCGCCCCCGGGGGTCCCCGAGGAGGCGCCCCTCCTGCCCAGCGCAACAGCAACAAGGCGAAGCTGAACCCCGACTCCGAGGCTCAGGGGGCCAGGGGGGAGTTGGTGACATCACAGGCTGCCCAGGACGTGTGTGTGGATGGGGCAGAGGCCGGGGTCTCAGAGGCCCGGTGCTTCCCGGGGCATTCGGCCTCCTGGCTGGCCAGGACCAGGGCAGCTCTAGGGGGACAACGCTGCCCCCCTGCCCGCTCCCCACCCCCCAGGAAACTCACCTGCCCTTAGCAGGATGACCTGGTCGTCCAGGGGGAGCTCTGAGAAGTGGGGGACGCGCTTTGCCCACTCCACCAGGGTGAAGAGCTGCTTATCTGCGGCTTGGCAGATGTTGGTGACGGGGTCGTTGGGCTGGGGAGGGGGTCAGAGGGCACGGGCTGAGGACACAGCCCAGGCCTACCCCCTCCCAGAGCCCCAGCATGGCCACCCCCTGCAGACACCCACAATGACACTGAGCCTCGGGTTGGGCGGGGCGGGGAGAGTGGGGTTCCCGCGGGAGGGGCACGGACAGGAGCCGCCCGGCCTGGCCCGCCGCACCCCCTGGGTCACGCGGTGGGGCGGGCTGGGGGTGCGGGCCGGGCACTCACCGAGCTGGGGTTCAGCCCCATGTTTGCCTCCACGTACGTCTCGGTCTTGGGCTCCACGGCCAGCTCAGCCTCCAGGATCTTCTCCACGGGCATGTCCTCGTTGGCGCTGCTGCTACACTCCGCCTCGCTCTCGCTCCGGTCCTTGCCACGCTGCCGCTCCTCCTGCACGGCTGTGACGGGGACAGGCCGGGCGTGTCAGCCTCCACGCAGCTTCCCGGGGGCCGCCACTAGAGCCTGTGCGCCTGAGACCGGGAGGGAGGCGCAAGGCCCCAGCAGACGGCCCCCACCCCAGACACCGAGACCCCCGAGCTGCAGGACACAGTCCTGGGGAGGGCGCCCCAAGACCGCGGGGAACGCCAGGGCCAGCATGTGGCTGGGGGGCAGGTCTCACAGCCAGAGGGGAGACAGAACTGGGGATGTGGGTTGGTGTCCACCCTGACGGGGGTCAGTGGTCAGTGGGTAGGGCTTGCCTGTGCATCTCTCCCAGCGAAGGCAGGGACCCCCTGCTCCAAGAACACCCCCCACCAAACTCACATGGCTCCTGGGCAGCCCCCCAGCCCCTTCATGCCCCCGCACCCACACAGCAGGGCCGCCCTGAGGGTCGGAGCTCCTCACAGACACCACGCCGGGACATCTTGGGCTGTGGACAGGTGGGGCAGTGCTGACCACACACGGCTCAACAGGACATGCCTGGGGAACCCTCCCCATCTGCCCCCTCCTCCCCCCCGGCCACCATGCAGCTGCCCAGCGAGGCCCACACACCCCCTCCGGCGCTGTCCGGCGGTCATGCAGGGCACACACTGGGAGCAGGGAGACCCAGGCCCACTCTGTCCACTGGGCAGCCTGTGATGTCACCAACTGCCATTTCAACAGCGAGGGAAACTGAGGCCCCAAGGCCCCCAGGACGACCGTGCTCACACGGGACCCCCCAGGATGGCATGCTCGTGTGGCACCCCCAGGATGGCAGTGTCCACATGGGACCCCCCAGGACGGCAGTGCCGATGCAGGACCTCAGGCCCTCCTCGCTGGTGACAGGGCCGTCCTCCGGCAGGAGTGGAGGACTCCACAGGTCTGACGCACTCTGGCCAGGCAGCAGCGTTACAGGTTTGGGGGGTGGGAGGGGGCTGCTTCCTGCCAGCCTGGGGCCCCAGGAGGGGCATTAGGGCCAATGAGACGGTGCCCACAGAGGCCGAGAAGCCACGGACTGATGACTGCCATGCCAGGACCCCCAGTCCCCAGGTGCGGGGGCAGAGGAGACCCTGAGCCGACGCCCACTGCTGCCTCCCCAGGAAGTGGGGGGTGGGATGGACTGGGGTGCTGGACTCCAGCTCAGAGGGGCCCCGCCCCCAAGGATGGGCTCCCAAGGCCCCAGCCTGCTCCCCTCAGGCACAGGCAACGGATCCCCGAGCCCATGGCCCACACAGGGCTGATGTCTCCAGCTCAGCGCAAAAAGTGGCACCCTAGATCTCACCCCTGGTACCTGCATGTGGCAGCTGCCCGTGCCCTCACATGCAATTAACGCATGCACTCAGCGTCCCACACGCACGCAAACGTGCAGTAACTGCTCAGACCTGCACACACAACCCCGCACAGGAAGGAAATAGGAGAAAACAGGGCAGGAAGGAAACAGGACAGGAAGGAAATGGGGCAGGAAGGAAACGGGACAGGAAAAAAAGGGGACAGACAGAAAGTGGGGACAGGAAGGAAATGGGGCAGGAAGGACAGGACAGACCTCCTGGAGGAGGACCAAAGAGAAGGCGGGTACAGCAGTGGCCCCTCCAGCCCGCTTCCCCATCAGAGGAGCCCGGGGACCGCCTGCCTCCCCCAACCCGCCGCCACGCTCCCCAGAAGACAGGCCCAGGCCCAGCCGGTGCAGGGCTGTGCCCAGGCGTCTCCCAGCCGGCCGCCCCCCGCCCACGGAATGCAGCCGAACGAGTCCGGGGCTGCCTGCACGCAGGCCCAGATGCCATCAGTACCCCCACCCTGTCAGCCTGTGGGGTGCCCCGGCTGGGTACACTGCCGTGAGCACACCCGGCCAAGTCCAAGGCGCCAGGGGGTCACTGCCTACACGGCCCAGGGTGGGCCTGCAGGCGTGAGCCAGGCTGGGCCAGAGCAGGGCCACACCCCAGCCACTGATCAGGTGGGGCATACTGGCCCCCCTCCACTGCCCCATGCCCAGTCAGGCATCTCCGGCAGCCAGGACAGTGCCAGGGGTCCCCTGCAGCCAGAGTGTTCTCCAGGGTCCCACGCCTCTTCCTAGGGGAGCCGGGAGCTGGGGCTCTGGCCACTTGCCCCCGAGTACGTGGCCTGGACCCCAGGGCGCACAGCAAGAGGTGCTGCGGGGGAGGGGGTGAAACCGAGACCCCCGGGTCGTGACAGGGCCCAGACAGCACAGGAGGGCTCAGGAGGGGCCAGCAGCACCGAGCCCTGAGACCCCCAATGCCATCCCTGCATCCCACTTCTTGGTGACGGTGGGGGGTGCCTACAGGAGCCAGGTATGTGCTGCCCCCCACTCTGACTGTACGAGGGGTCAGTGTGGATGCAGGGTGGGGTTCAGTCTTGGGCAAGGTCCCTCTGTCCCTCAGGGTGGCAGGTCAGGCACAGCCAGTCACACCCCCACACCCAAGTGTGGCCACTCTGGGGTCTGCGCAGTCCCAAACCATCGCCCACCCCCGAGGTGTCCGCTCTCCACGCAGCCCCCATCAGTGATGACGCCCGGAGTTGCGTGGCCTTCGGTGACACGTGTCAGGGCTCAGACAGGCTGGGGGCTTGGGCCGAGACCAGTTCCGCCTGCACCACGGGGTCCTCAGAGGAGCCCCAAGTCCCGGCTGCACCCCAGCAATGGGGCTAACTCCGGTGCTATGTGCCCGCCTCAGAGCACCCCATCAGGAGAAGTGCCTTGGACACACTGGATCCAAGGCCAGAGGCCTCTGTGACCCCGTGACCCTGTGCAGCTGCAGTCAGACAAAAGTGGAGGGCGGCCGGGGCAGCCTCTGGTCACCCCAACACCGTTCCCCACTCACTGGACAGCAGGACCTGGGGGCTCAGCTTCCCTGCACTCTGCTGCCGGTCCCCACTCTAAGCTGGCCCGGGGGCTCGCTTTCATCCAAGTCAGCTGGGACGGAGGGGCTGGAAGCTCCAGTGGGTAGCGCCCAGCGGCTTTCCTAACTCCAGGGCTTCCCGAAGTCTGCCTCCTGCAGGGGCTTCCCAAATGCCGGGGAAGGGAGGTGGGGGGGGTGGAGGGGATGAGAGGCACGCCTGCCTGAGGAGGGCCTCTAACAGGAAACGCAGGAACCCCCAGAGGACACTGGGGGCAAGGGGGGAATTAGGGGCGCCCTGGAAGGCGCACACTGATGCGGCACTGCTGGCCTCAGAGGGAGCACCCCACGACCAGACGGAAAACCACGGGGCCCCAGGAAAACCAAGGGCTACTGGGGCGAGAGGCCTGGAGAAGAGGCCACACCCCGCCGGCCCCGCCCCGTGCTGGCCCCGCCCCTGCTCACACCCTGCGGCCCCACCCGCTGCTGGCCTGGCCCCGCCCCGGGCTGACCCAGCGCCCTGCTCACACCCTGAGGACCCAAGGAGCTGCTGACCTGGCCCCGCCCCACCCCGCCCCCGCCCTTGCTGACCCAGGGTGACCCAGCCCCATGCCCACACCCCGACCGACAATCTGCTGGCCCCGCCCCTGCCCCGCCCCCCGCCGCTCACCTTCCCGCTTCATGCCCATGGCCAGGCACTTCTGGTAGCGGCAGTACTGGCAGCGGTTGCGCTGGCGCTTGTCGATCAGACAGTCCTTGTTGTCGCGGCACGTGTACGTGAGGTCCTTGCGCACGGTCCGCTTGAAGAAGCCTTTGCAGCCCTCGCAGCTGTACACGCCGTAGTGCTTGCCTGGCGGGCAGCGGCGGGGTCAGCGCCCGGCCCGCCCGGCCCCCCGGCCCGCCTGGCCCCCGCCCCAGCCCTACCCGAGGAGCGGTCCCCGCAGATGGCGCAGATGTGCTTGGTGAAGGCGGCCATGCTCCCCGACGGGTGCGCCGGCACCTTCAGCACGCCGTTGAGGCCCAGCGGCGGCTTGATGTCCTCACTGCTGCTGCTGCTGACCGGGTTCATGGGCGAGCTGAGCTGGGGAGGGGACGCGGGGGTCACTGGGCGGGAAGGGCAGGAGCCGCCGCTGTCCCCCGGGGAGGAGCCCGCCACAACCCACGGACGACCCACCGCCGTGGCTGGGGAGGTGGGGACCCCGGGCCTGCGGGAGGGGTGGGGGGGTCCCAGGGCCCGGGTGCTGCTGCCTGTGGGACACTCACCCGTGACTCAGCACTTTTGGTTCCCTGGGTGACCCCCCCCCCCCCCAGCCCCATCACCCAGTCCTGCATTTCCCGTTTATCCCCCAGCCAGCCTGTCTCCACTGCCCCACCCCCCACTCCACAAATCCCTAATGGGCAGAACTGTCCACTCCAGCCGTGGGACCCTCGCCCTGGCCTCCCTTCCTTGCTGGGCAGGAACAGCCCAAGGCCTCAGGAGCCCTGACTGACCCTTCAGGACACTTCCAAGGGTGCTAGCCTGCCGGGGGGCACCAGTGGTGAGGTCAGGCGAGAGGGGCTCGGTGGGCCCTGCCCCACCAGCCCTGCACGCTGGGTGACGGAGCCAAATACCCCCAGTTGCTGAGGGGGTGAGGGCCACGGCTGCCCTTCAGGGGAGAGCCTGGAGTCTCAGGGGGTCCCCAGAGCTGCAGAGAGTCAGGGGCCAGGCTGCCGGGCCCCAGGCAGGAGGCACTGCCCGGCCAACAGGGGGGTGACAGCCATCCTGGACCCCAGCACCCACTCCTGGAGGGGAAAGGTTCCTGGAATTGGCCACCCACACCTGGAGGTGGGCCCCGCAGGCTGGCCCTGGGCACCAGCTCTCGGGGTGCAGCTTCCTGCGGGGCCGGGGCCTCTGCACCCGCCTGCGCCGACGGAGGAACTGGGGCATTTCCTCTCTGCCATTTCCTCTCTGGTGGCCCTAACCACAGGGGGGCACCTGCCCAGTCTCACAGTCCTGGGAAGGCCTTTGCCCTGGGTAAACTGAGGCAGAGGCCCTGCAGGAAGCAGCTGCAGGGGGCAAACTCACCAGGGCCCCTTGTGGAGCCCCCGACACTCAACGGTTGGCACAGAGCTCGGGGACCCCCAGGAGAGGGTGCTGGATCGGGGGGAGGGGGGGACAAACCAGGCGCCAGGCTGGGGAGTGGCAGACAAGGGGCCAGGGCGGGGCTCTGATTCCCCTTTCGCATCCCTGGGATCCATTTCACTTCCTGCCTCTTCCTACTGCTCACTCACCCCTTCCACCCCACCACACCCTTCCTGCCTCACGAGCCACACAACCCGGCAGGCGGGGGGCTCCCCCTGGCCCCCACCGGCCACGGAGGGGCCTCACAACCTGGTGCCCACAGCCAGGGCCCAGCATACGTGCTGCCCATAGGAGCAAAGCTGGCCAGAACCGCAGCACTGGGCAGAAGGCCAGCACCCCCCAACCCCGCCCGCGCCCGGCCCCCGCCTCAGCAAAACCAGAGAAGGCTGCTTCCAGAAACTGTCTTTGCGGTTGTGGTTTGGGGGTAGAGGGTGGGGGCACGCTCGCCCCCGCTCCACCCACAGTCCCAAGAATATGGGGAACCCCAGGTTTCCAAGACAAACCACTAAAGCCAGAAGCTGACCTCAGCTTGCGGGGGGGCTGGGAGGTGCTGGGGGCACAGAGGCCTCTGGGAAGGGCAGCCAAGCCCAGCACAGGGTCAGTGCCCCCCACTACAGGCCCTGGGGTCCCACACTGGAGTCTCCACCTGCTCCCCACGAGCTGCGGCTCTGAGGCCAAAGAGCAGGGTCCAAGGGCCCCACAACAGGTAGGGAAGCCTGAGGCCAGCCAGGAGTCCCACTGGGCCGGAGGTGGTCTGGTCCTGGTCCCCAGGGGACAGGCGGCCTGCATCTAGAAGGCCAGCAGCGGGCACTGCTCAGCCCGACCTTGCCATGGAGCCCCCAAGAGCCTCTGGCTGGGGGGTCTGCAGCGGGCAGGGAGGCTCCGTAGAGGCACCACTGACCTGTGTCCCTGCACTGCCAGCCCCTCCCTGGCCAGTCATGAGTCCAAACCCAAGGGCGGCGTGTCTGGGCCCACTATGCAGAGAGTGGAGTGCAGGGACAGCACCGGGGTTTGGAGACAGCTGGACCTGATGCTTGCTCTCCTGCAGGCTGGCTGGACCCCAACACGAGAATCGGGGGCCTCGGGCTCACCCTGTCCCCTGAAGCACCTCTCCCTGCACACCCCATGGCCCGGCCTCATACTGACTCCTCGTGCAGTCGGGCTGGGCACACGGATCCCCTCAGACAGTGCCTCCCCGGTCACGAAGTCCCTGAGTTGGAGGGTAAGGATGGGGCTGCGGGGTGGCCAACTCTCAGATGAGTCATGGGAGCAGCCAGGGAGCCCCCCCAGGGGTGGGGGGAAGTAGCAGATGGAGGACAGCCTGGCTTCAACCCTGGAACCAGGCCCCAGGAGGGTTCACAGGACCACCCAGCTCCATGGTCCCGCCCCCACCACTCAGGCCCCGCCCCCACTGCTCAGGCCCCGCCCCGCCGACCGGGCCCCGCCCCTGCACTTACCTGAGGGCTGCCAGTGCCGAAGCCCAGGGTGGGTGTGGTGGGCACCGACATGGAGTGGGGGCCCATGGGGGAGCTGATGACCGAGAAGGGCGGGCCCATGCCATTGATGGGCGAGTGCAGCTGTCCCGGGGAGCCGAGCGAGGGTCCGATGGCGGGCCCCAGGGAGGGGTGCAGGGCGGGGGCGGCCATGGAGCCCCGCGCCGTGGGGGAGCCGAGGGACGAGGAGCTGACCTGCGTGGAGAAGTCTGCAAGACACGGGCGCGTGGGGTGGTCAGGACCCGCCCGCCTGCTGCCCGGCGCTCCCAAGGCGCCCCGCCCGCTGGGGGGGGACAGCACAGGGGGGCAGGAGACGGCTGAGAATGCCGGTGCCCACGGCTGCCCGGGAGCTGGGCCCCAGGGCTACCACGCTCCCTGGGTCTTCCCAGTGTGGGCTGCCGGGAGGCGGTGGCGACGCGTGTGCAGGCAGCTGCTGGACCTCCCACGCCGCCCTTTCATCTGGGGCCTCGAAGCCTGGCCGAAGCCTGGCCCACGCTCGTTACACCCGCCCCACCCAGAGGGCGTGCTCGCGGGGCCCAGGGGGTCCGCGGGAAGGAGCACGCAGCCACCGCCACGCCTCCCCACTTCCACCACTGAAGGGGTCTGAGCCCTCTAGGCAGCTGTTCCGAGTGCCCCCAGCCACCCCCTCCTGCTCCCACCTGGGCGAGATAGCTGTGGAGACCCTCCCCTGGGACCATTGCCCATGCTGTCCACCTACAAACCCCACAAACTCGGGAATAAACATTCCACTGGACAGAATTCCGGCCTGACACCTGCGGCTGAGGCGGCACTGACCAGCCCAAGGCATCGCCACATCCGAGTCCCCAAGGTCCCCAGGCAGAGCCCCAGGGGCTGGCCAGAGGCGGTCGCAGGGAAGGGGCCACCCGGTAGGGGCACCAGATCCACCTGTGGTGGCTGATGTCACTGAGTTCTCATCCCCGTCCTGCTGGCGTCCCCACACCTCCCCCCCAGCAGCCCTCCACCTTGGCGCCACGCGCATCCCCACGGCTCTCGCCACCTCCCACCGCCATGCCGAGCGCCCAGAGGGGGTGGGGAGCAGAGGGCTCCAGGCGGCCGTGGACACAGGATGGGGCCTCCCGCAGCGCAGCGGTGCCAACAAGACTGCCGGGTTCCTGCTCCCCGGCACTGCCCACGCCCAGCGCATCTGAAACTGTACGGAAGTCTGGGTGCAAGGGGTGACGGTAGGGCTCGCCCCCAGCACCCCAGACAAGAGCGGGCAGCTTCCCCGGGCATGTGCCCCGGCCTGTCGCCCACCCTCCCTGCCAGGGCATCAAACCTCGAACAGGAGCCCCTCCAGTGCCGTGCGGACAGTCCCAGGAATCCCAACAGTGCTCATGCACCCCAACATGCTCAAGTCTGTGACACCCAACAGTGCCCATGAATCCTCAGTGTCCTGTCCTCCCCCAGTGCGATGTCCCAGCAGAGCCTTGCCCGAGTCTCACTGCAACCCAACGGTGCTGGTGGCACCCAGACCCCCAGCAGCCCCCTCCTGGCAGGCCCCCTGGGCAGTTCCTGTTTACAGAGCGTGCCCAAGAGGGATGACAATGGGCTCTGGTGACAATGGCCCTGGTGACAATGGACATGTGGTTTCTGCAGTCTAGGAGTTCCTGGCCAGGAGGGGGAGGGCAGAGAAACTCCAGCACATCCTCAGCCCCCCAGGCCGCCTGGACACTCACTTAGGTTCCAGCCAGTGCCGTTACCGGGTCCTGCTCTGGGCCCAGCCCCTGCCCTTCCGAGGCCACAGCCAGGTCACGCTCCAACACCCCAAGCCCAGCACCTCACAGCGCCCCACCTACCCCCGGTCCGCGGGTCCGGGGTGATGAGGTCCTGGTGAGAGTTGGGGGGACACAACCGCCAGTAATGTTGCATCTGGGCAGACACCCCTAGGTTCATAGGCAAAGGGGCAGACACCCCTAGGTTCATAGGCAAAGGGGCAGGGGAGGGTAGTGGCCAGCAAACAGGCCGTGCCGGGACAGGGGGGAAGCTGTATGGGCGCAGGGACTGGGGGTCAGGGGGAGGCTGTGCTATGCGAGGACGGGGGAGCCCGCCTGCACATTGGGGGGCCGCGGAGGGAGACTGCAGGTGAGGCGGGGTAGACTGAGGAGCAGGGGGGAGGCTGTGCGGGCAGGCAAGGGTAGCTGTTCTGGCTCGGACAGCTGATGGGGTGGGGCCCAGGGGCTCAGCCCCCTCAGCGGGCGGGAGCAGGCCCGCGTTTGAGCGGCTCCTGCTGCAGTGCTCAGACGGGCAGGTAGCCCTGAGGCTTCTCGGGGGAGGGAAGGGACAGTCCCACCCAAGGCATTTCCTGGACAGCACATGCTGGGCCCCCAGCAGAAAGCGGTGACCCCCCCCTCCTTTCCGGCCTCGGCGTGTCCCGCAGGAGGACAGGAAATGCAGCCTGTCAGGTAGGTGCTCGGGGCTCTCCTGCCCTGTGGAGCCTGCAGCCCCATCCTCCAGAAGGGGGGGCACCAGGGGCCTGGGAAGCCCATGCCCGCAACCCAGGGACGGCCCCTGGAACGGAAGCCCCTGGTTTCGGGGCTCCCAGCTCCCTCCAGGGGGCGTCTCCCTAGCCGCCCAACCACAGAGCCCTGAGGGGGATGGGTGTGCCTGCAGCCAGACAGGGAGCTGCACCCTTGCCAGAGCCCGCTCACGGCTCGGGGGTCTGGGCAAAATCCCTTTTCCTGCCCTGCTGAAGACATATGGTCAACAGGACCCCATGGGCGAGGGGACACCCCAAGGCCGCGCTTGGCCACCCAGAGCCCTCAGGGGCTCCGAGCAGGTTAGGGAGCGCAAGCGGGAGACCCTGGGCCCCAGGCAGCCCCCTACCCCGCTGCATGGCCAGGCCAATATCCCCTTCACTCCCACCCCCCAACCCAGGTATAGTAGGAAGGGGTGAGGAGGGAGAGCGGGAGGACACAGGCCAGTGTGGAGGGCAGAGAGCAGCGTGGAGGAGTGGGGAGGGTGGGAGGGACAGAGACCAGGATGGAGTGGGGAAGCGGGGCAGGCGTTGGTTCTCCGAGACTCAAGACAGCCACACCCGCGAGAGGCTAACGGCCCCCAGGGAATTCCAGCCTTGGGGCCTCACCTGGGCCCCCACCCAGGAAGGCGCCATTCCCCACTGGCCCGGGGGCTCCACAGGGCCTCCTGGCACCACTGCAGCTCTCCAAACGGGCCCAGGGCCCGCCCAGAGCAGGGGTGTAGGAAAGACGTGTGGGTAGGCGCACGGCCAGGAACCACACACGCCAGGGCGGCAGCGCCGGGGTCCAGACCTGTGGCCAGCTGGGCGCTCCTCAGGCCTCACAGGGCAGCCAAGCCCTTCAGCCGAGAGCCCGCTGCAGTCCTGACCACGTCCACCCGCAGGCCCCACGGTCAACCTCTAACCAAGGGAAACAGCCCCACGAGGAGGCCCCGGGCGGTGCTGGACACAGTAACCTGAGCACCAACCCCCACGCAGCCTGCACCCCCTTTTCAGGATCACCACCCTCGCCCCCTCCGCCCGGCCCTGCAGCGCCTCCCCCATCTCCATCACCTCCGTCTCCACCATCATCTCCATGCCACCAGTGCACCCCTTCCTCATCATCCCCTTTGGCTTCATCACAGCCTTTCTGGTCTTCACCACCACCCGACTATCACCACCTCTGTCCTCAGCATCACCGTGACGACCACCATCCCTGTCACCCTCACGCTCGACAGCAGGGAGGGGTCCGGGCTTTGTGCAGGTCGGTGTGGGCTGACGCTGCCGAGGGACGGGCAGGCGAGGGTGGGCAGCAGGGCAGCAGTGTGGGGGCTGGCAGGGACCCCACCCGCCCACCCTGCAGGTCCCCACAGAGGCACCCCCCGCCCGCCCACCCGCCCCGCGGGGCCCGCGGTGGGGTGCAGCCGCTGTGGGGAAGTGGGGAGCAGGCTGGGAGGAAGACGTGGCCAGAGGTTCCCTATGCGATGCCAGCAGGGCCCCGCCTGGAGAGGGGCCAGCGGCAACACCATCAGGGCCCCAAGACCAGGCCGGCCAAGGCCACCAAACTCGCCCGCTGCCCCTCCCTCGGACCCCCGGTGGGCAGGGACAGCGGCGGTGCTGGTCGCCCAGGGGTCCCAGCTCAGCGACCCCTCCCCAGGCACCTCGGAAGGGCACAGAGACGGGGCAGAGGAGCCCGGTGCGCCCCAGCCGTGCCCTCCCGGCCCTCAGCTCTGCACCCGCGGGCATGGATGGGCGCTGGGCGTGCCCCCTCTGTGGGCTGGCCGGATGGAGGGGTCAGGCGCAGGCGGGAACTCCCGGCCTCAGTCCGCAGGCGCCACTGGCGGCTGGCTGACCCTCATGTGCCTCTCCAGGCAGCCTGCCGGAGTGTGCCGAACATTCTAGAAAAGGCAGACAGCTGAGGTGGGAAGAGGATCTGGCCAGGGGCAGCCCCTGACCCCACTCTGCCCACTGGGTCTTCTCATTTTGGGGCTGTGGTGGGGTCTGGGGGTGAATGTGGCCATCAGAGACCACTCACCGCTCCCCGGAGCCCCATCCCATCTCTGATGAGGGACCTTGCATGGATATGCGCCGCCTGCGGCTCACTGCTGGGCGCACACAGCCCCCCTATAATGCTGAGTCTGCACCCCACCACCCCTCACAGCTCCCTGCGGGCCCAGCAGGCGAGCTCTGTACCCCCAGTCTCCCGGCACCCAGGGTGCAGAGGTGACCACGGCCCTGAAGCCCCCAGGGGGACGTTGCCCTGAGGAAGCATCCCCACAGCCACGCAGACCCCTCCACCCCGCGGCAGTCAGGCTAGCACCCTGAGTGGTGCCCACTTCCCCCTCGGCACCACCCTGTGCCGCGCTGTGTGCCTGTCGCCGTGTCGGGAGCCAGCAAACAGCGCATTGGGGCACCAGAGTGGGGACAGCCGAGGCTGCCCTTGTCCCCAGCCCAGGTGGAGCCCCTCAAGGGCCGTGGTGGGGCACAGCCTGTGTCCCAGAGCCTGGGGATCCCCAATGTCCCGGCACGGGGTGCTTCCCGTGGAAAGTGCACCTGCGGCCGTGCCCAGCGACCAGCCCCATGCCCCCCACATGCCCGGACCCTCGGCCCACGACCCGCCTCTGGGCCACCGCTGGGCACTGCCCACCGCTGAGTCCTCGCCGGCCCCCACATGGCAGCTCTGGCCCCATCAAGCTCAGGGAGGAAAACCACAGCTTGGAGCCCCAGGGCCCCACA